TCCTCTAAAACAAAGTCTAAATGAGTTAAATGAAAAATTCAAGCTCTTTTGATGAATTTTGTCACTTCATTGAAGACCAGAGTTTCTAGACCTAAATTTCTATTTAATTAGAAATGTGAGTTTTGTTTTAATCTTCCTCTTACATATAAATAACACTGATACAGTTCCATAATTCATTCAGGGGACTCAAAAACCATTAATATCTGCTTGGCTCTATTGAGCACACCATGTCTCTTTTGTTCTATTACAAATTATCTTGATCAAGGTTTAGTCACTGGAATGTCATAATGGTGAACAGTGTAGATGCATTAACAGTCTACAGGGTGCACCAGAAAGTTGAGAACAAATTAAAATTTAAAGAAAAAGATATTCAACAACATATTTTTAAAAGAATTTGTGTACATGTTTAACAGAAAAAGCTTAAGAGTAAATAGCCTCAAATTTTGAGGATTCCTTTGATGGAGGCTTGAAAATGACCGGATGTTCAAATCAGGTAGTTCCTATTTATGTGGACCATCATGTCCCCAATGAGAGCTTTAATAAGTCCTTGATATAATAGTGCAGCTAGTTGGTCTCCTTTTTAATGATAACCCCCAATGTATGAGTTTTTAATTGGTATCACCCCAAACAAGGTAGTAAATCCACTAAAATGCAAGAGGTTACAGAGTATGGAAAAATTAGGAACAGAAACATTAATGAGCAGGGAGATAAAAGTGTAATTTGGAGGACAGTAGATAGTGGTTGATATTGCATTTAAATTTTTGCAGATTAAAGTTAGCCAGAAAGCATAGAGCCAGAAGGGAGTTCTACAAGTGAGAAGTGTGAAAAAAGAAACTGTTAGCATAGAAATTATGGCTGCATCTAGCTAGCTCAACTGTAAATTGATGAGATCTCAATGCCAGTCTAGTACTGTACTTAAATTCATAGAGTCTAGTATCATAGAAACGAGCTTATCCAAACAATTACCATGAAAGTATTTATAAAAAAGACAGAGAGAGGCAACCTTATGGTGGTAAGAAGACAAGCAACCAGATCAGGACCAATAATATTGCTGATTCTTCTTTGGATCTTATCAAGGAGCTCAAGGTAAACAGCAGGGGCACTAGACCATATGTGGCAGCAATATTGTAAGCATGAATGAATGGTAAACTTATAAATATGTAAGATTGATTCCAAAGAGAAAAATTGTTTTGCATGACACAGTGAACTGACCTTAGCAGCTGACCTAGCAATAGATTCAATATAGTCTTTTCACTCCATGTCAGCTGAGAACGTTAGCATGAGAAAGTGCGACGAGTCACTTTCCTGGAGGTTAGCATCAGCCATGCTGATAGAAGGCAGAGAGGGGTCTCACATGATTAATGGAGAGAAGTTTTGTTTTGGAAGCATTAAAATTGACAAGCCATTTTTTCTCTCCAGTTAATGATGGACTTAAGGTTGTTTTGGACATTGGCTGTCATTTTGACCCTGTCAGACTGATCAGCCTTACGTTTGAGGTAAGATTAAATGGTTTGGTTGTCAGTGTAGACACCAAGTTGGGATCTGATGTCATTGGGAAGATCATTAATAAAAATCAAAAACAGCGTAGGACCAAGGATGGAACCTTGGGAACACCCGCATTAATATGAAAGGATCTAGACAAGAGGCTGTTCAGGATAACTTTCATTTCATGATTTGATAGGAAAGACTGGATCAGCTGAAAAATGTGTCTGGAGACACTGTAATTTTTCAGCTTGTGAAGAAGACCTGTATGCCAGACTCTGTCAAAGGCTTTTGAAATGTCCAATGCTACAGACTGGGTTTCACCATTTTAATCTAGAGCATGATAAACTCTTTCTTCAATTATCATCAGGGCATCAGCAGTTGGCCTGGAGAAACGAAAGCCATATTGCTTGTCTGAGAAAAGGCTCTGAGATGAGAGATGATGAACCAATTCAGCATTGATTAGGACCTCTAGGAGTTTCCCAAAATAGGTAAAAGACTAATAAGCCGATAGTTGAAATGGTTGGACAGTTCACCAAAGTTCTTAAAAACTGGAACAACAGACGATGACTTCCAACAGGCTGGAAACTAAGAGTCAGCGAGGCATTTATTATACAGTTTAGAGAGGACAGAAACCATTTCAGGAGCACAGTTCTTAATGACTATAACAGGGATAACATTGGGTCCATATGCTTTGTGGGAATCAAGGTTAGAAATTATAGTAGAAACCATGAATGGGGTTATATGCATATCAATCAACAGAGATTCAGTTCTAAGTGGGAAATCAGGCAGGGGTACTCCAGATAAGTCAAGAGTAGACATGAAGGAGAATTTATGTGCAAAGCATTCAGCTTTATCAGAAGAAGATGATAATACCTTAAATTGATTTAAGAGGAAGGAATAAAAATCTTGCACTTATTTAATACCCTATTACAGAGCCACCAGTAATCATGAGAACCAAAATTGTTACAGGCTATGCAGACACCAAACTCAGCCGCGCCTACTTCAACTTCCTCTTTGTTCGTCTGTCAATTTGTATGTCCTGCTCTATTGCACACAGTCTGCCGAATGACTCCCGATGCCCTTGTGCTCCTGGCACCCCACTTTTTATGCTGTTCTAATACAGCCGAAATTTGCATGTGTGCAAATATTGTCTCGTTTCGGACAAGATTGGCATGCATAAATTGCGTCTTCAATAGTGGCCATATTTCTTTTTGTCATTACTTTACAAGCAAGACATGTTCGCGCTCATTTCAAATTCTGAGGTAAGTCATGTCTTTTATCACAGTGGTATAGCCAAAAATATTGGTTCCTGTGTGCTATAGCAGCTGGGCATGCTGGTGTGAACCATGGAGAGGATTGAGGTTTCACTTGGTTTTTCTGAGAAGGGATGAAAATGTCCATGCCAGCTTTGACCAGAGGAGAAAACCTCAGTGGTGCAATTTTCAATTGGGAGGTTGAAAATGTTAGCTCATGTTGTGTCACAAAGAAAATCATGGAATGAGTCCCAATCAGCATGCTGGTAATGGAAAGAGTTCTTATGCAAAGGGTGTTCCTATTGAAACAAAATATCAATAGCTAACACAGAGTGGTCTCAGTTACCAAGAGGGCAGTATTGTGAAGCTCAGCAAGAGTGAGAGGAGGTAAGAAATAGATCCAGTAGAGAAGCCTGTTGCTCATTTTTGCTAGGGAAATGAGTAAGAAAGTCCACAACTTAAGTAAGGGATTGAGCAATGGAAAAATGTAATGCCTGAATACCGGTAAATTCAGTACCTTTAGAATGTTTCAGCCATGTGTCATGGTGAGCATTAAAGTCACCAAAGACAAAGTCATTTGAAGATTGTTGGAGAGTAAATGATTTTTCTATACTGTCAGTTATTATGTCTAATACACTGCAGTCCTGGAAAGAGGGGGAGCAATAAAAGAAAATGATATAGCTGACAGAATTTAGTAAGGAAAGATGGAAGCACATGAAAAAAGGCCACATATTGAAAGGTTGCATGACTACAAAAAACCTCAACCAGCCATTCCTGGGTTATGTGAGGAGTAGATACCTGCTGGAACACACATGGCTGGTCACCCCACTTTGTTTTTTTGATTTTTGATATACTTGTTAAATATTTTATTTACTTTATCTATCTTATAAAAACTCAAGTTCCCTAGTTTGGCAACAGTAAATCTGTAATTTTCATTTATAACTTATAGAAGACTTAGTCCAATTTTCATCAAATATTTCAAATTTGTTTTTAAAAAATATGTAAATTTCTTTTAGTTGTAAATAGTTTTTCAAGATTAACAGATGAACATTTGAGTCATGTTACAGCATTATTTTGAACATATGCAGGAGTATATAAAGTTGATAATTCTCCTTCTGTGACTGGGTAAAGACAAAATTAAAGGGGGAATAAAATTTAAAAGGAAAGAAGAGGGGAAAGGGGAAAAGACTAAGATAGATTGAGTGTAAGAATTACATTATGTGTATGAAGTAAATGAAGATAAGTCTAAGAACATAGTCTGGAATTAGTCATGGTTAAAAACAAAAAAAAATGGATTTATTTTGTAACTAGCTGGAATGAAAAAATCTAACAAATAACCTTCAAGAGTTGCTGGAAATATATGGTATTTTTTAAATACTATAGATAAAACAAAGAAAGATTAATGATGGTTAGAAAATGACACTTATAAGAAAACAGAAGAAAAATTTTTAGTTTTAAGCATTGAATAGATAAATACTCCTGGTCAGCCCCAGACAGATTGTCTCCACTCTAATTAGCTAGCAATCTGTAGAGGCATCAACCTAGATGTTCAGAAGATTCATCAATGTGTGATAATCCTCACCAAGAGATAAATAAATAAATCATAGAGAGTTGAAGACAATTGAGGTATGAGTAAGGATGAGTAGATGTTTGATTCCATTTAAGTATCATATGGTGATTTGAGTCCTGGTTCAGGGATTGACATCAGTCATCAAAAAAACAAGATGGTGGGGAGATAAGAAATCGAATGTTGAGTGTTTTTTTATAGCACTGGAAATTATTGGATTTAATTAATGAATTATCAATTAGGGAGAAGGCAAGGAATTATATAAAGAGTTTTTCCCTCGAAGTTTTCAGTGATGACTTTTTGCCTCTTAACAAACATGTGTGCCTGAAACTGCCAGAAATGAACAAGCGAGAAAAATTGGAAGCCTCTATTTCACTTACCTCCTTCTCTTCTTTACTTCAAGTAGTTTGTAGTATTTCCTGGACTAAGTGTAATAAAAACAGTCAATTCAGACTGTATACATTGTGTTATTTAAAACCAGGAGAAGAAATTTTTCTCTTGTTGAGAAGATATCCAGTTTGATTTTCAGCAAGAGGCAGAGTACACTGGTCCCAAATAATCAGTGCAACAACAAAATTACAAGGAGCTGCTTCAGGAAATGGTAACAGTTGCCAAACACATTTTGAGTCACTATGACGATTACTAGATGTTAGTAGAAGAACCATGGACCTAGTCACATACTGAATCACATAATGACCAACATGAAAACACTGGTTCTCATATGATCACTGAAGTTAAGCAATGTCAAGCTTAGTCATTACCTAGATGGGTGACCATTTGAGAATACCAGGTACTGTAAGGATGTGTAGGTAGTGTAATGGATAACAGCTCGGGATTGAAAACCAGAGAGCCAAGTTCTAATTCCAGTCAGGGTTATTATATTTACTTACATGAAAGTACTCTTTGGAAAGGTATGAATTTACCTCTCCCCCAAGCTATGGGTTAATTAGTAGGACTTGTATCAGTAAATTATTATCTCCAAAACATTCTTACAATCTTGTAATGGGATTGGCAAATAGAATTTTACTTATTTGCATATGTTGGTTATAGTAAAAATAAAGGATAGAGTAAAAAGTCAGATGGGACTAAGTTTACTACTAATCATGTGTCATAGACTATACAAGAATATAGCATCGATGATTGGATGTTTAAGTCACTTGGAAGAACCAGAATTTGTTGAGACTTGGAGCCAGTGTTTTGCAGCCAAGGCTAGGGCTAAAAAATTGAAAAACAGTAAGACAAAAGAGGAAGAAAATCAAATAATGGACTTCTTCCTAGCTTCAGCAGGTTGTAAAACTATAATGAAAATTTCTGTTATGGCATATCCCAAAACACTTGGAGAATTTGACTTTCATCAAAATTTCAGAAATGATAAAAAGAAATTTACGACCTAAAAAATTTGCCATAGCGGAAAGAACCAAATTTCTATCCATTAAACAGAAACAGGATGAATCAATTATACAATATCTTCATAGATTACGAGAAGCTAGCAGATTCTGTGAATTTGAGAAACTGGGAACTCAGGATTTGACTATAGAGGACAAATTGATTCAATTACAATTGATTGAAGCTATGGCTGATATCTTATGAATATAAGATATTGGAACAATTACACTTGAATAATTTGTCTCTAACTGCATGTGTGGAAGTTATACAACAGCTGAAATTAGTTAAAAAAAAGTATAGGTCTACTGAGGACAATGTTGAAATGTACAGTATAAACAAGGAAGCAAGAAATGCAACTATTGTAAGTATGAGCATGAAATTGACAGAAAAATGTGCCCCACTTTTGGAAATATTTGTCATAACTGCAGAAAACAACAACCACTGTTAGTCTGTATACAAACTTAAAAAGAAAACAGTATAGAAAAATTGGAAAAAGAAAGAATTGATGACATATTTTCAATACAGAGACCAAAGGAAAAGGATTCTTTGGAAAAAATTAAATTAAATAGTATGGCTTTTCCAATGCAAGTGGATACTGGGAGTGAGGTCACTCTAATCCCAAGAAATTTCTGGGAACAAATGGGTAAACTGAAACTGAGAAAAAGTCATCTGAAATTGTGACAATTCAATAGATCTTTTATAAGAACTTTGGGCTACTTCAATGGAACTTTTGAAACCTGTGACTGATATGAAATTAATTCTCATTACAGTAGTGGATGTAATAAAAAATATGGACTACTAGAAATAAATGTTCTAAACATGGATATTTTGAAATTAATGAATACTGTAAAATCAGAAAAAGTAAAAACTGGAGTCTTAAAGGAGTATAAAACGAACATAAATGAAAATAGTACTCATATTTTGAATTCTGTAAGTAACCTAGTCACCTTCTACCTTTAGGAGTGGCCAAGTTAAAGAAAATGGTAGAGAAGGGAATTTGAAGCATGTTTCTCCGGGTGGCAGTAAATGGGCCTCTCTCATTGTAGATTTGTGAAGATCAAATGGAGACTTAAGTATATGTGGTGATTTTAAAATAGGCATAAATCATAAAATATGCTTGGATTTATTTCCTATTTCCAATGTCGAAAACATTATCCACAAAATATCAGGTATGAAATGTTTTGCAAAAATTGATTTAAAATCTGCCTATAACCAAATACAAATTGATAAGTTCAAAGAAATTACCACAATAACCACCACCACCACCACCACCACTGTAGGGTTATTGAGATGGATGAGAATGCCTTTTGGAGTGAAAGTTAATTAAGAAAATTCCAGAGATATCTAATCTACTGATAAAAAAGAATTAGAATCATTTTTAGGATTGGTTAATTTTTATAATAGTATACCAAAATAGTGTACCAAAATACAGCTACATTGAATTCAAATGTACTTAAATACAAAACTTAGCATTTGAGGATTAAAAAAAAAATGTTCACAGAAAACCCATTGTAAAAAATTTGATCCCTGAAAGTAAGTAACAGCAGAGACAGAGCTTAACAATTTTTGTTAGGTAAGAAGTTCCTGTTAAAGTCAGAGCATAAACCTCTAGAGTTTATATTTTAAGCCTAGAAAGGAGCTATCAAATGTTATTTCTTCCAGAACTCTAAGGTGGGCAATAACATTAATGGCATATGATTTTGATATTGAGTATGTAAAAGGAAATACAATACTACATATTGATGTGCTGTCACAGGTTACAATTTAATAAGGATCAAAAAGAAAAAATGGTAATCCCAGATGAAAAAATATTATATCAGATTGAAACTGAAATATTATCTCTACAAAAATTGGCATCAGAAACTCTATATGAGCTGATATTAAGCAAGATTGCTGAGAGAACAAGAGACAAGTAGAGTAATTGTTCCAAAGCTGAAAGACCTTATAAAAAAATAAGGCATAAATCAACAATGGAAAACAGCATTATATGCAAAGAAGATGTGATAGTACCAATAGAAACAGTAAGAAAAGATATTTTAAAATGTGTATATGTTGATGTGCATTGTGAGATAACAGCTACACAGAGGAAATTAAAATTGGAGGTATGGTGGCCAGGGTATTATCTAACACTTTTGCCCCAGCCTCTCAACGTCCAGCGTCTTATTCTCTGGGTTGAGGTGTCTACTTGGTCTTAATCGAACTTAAGGGTGTGGCCATAGGTCCCCTGAGCATCCGTAGATTATTCAACCGGTCTGCTGGTTTAATCCTGTTTCCTGCCCATGTTGTGATTTGTTTGATCCAGAAAGCAGAAGTGATGTCTATCCATTCACGGTCGATTGAAGATGTAGACACGGCTGGGGAATCTGCACTAATTTATTTACATGATTTTCCTGAATATCATCAGTTTCTTTTAAAACCCCTTTTCATATTAATTCTTCCCTAGTAGAGCGCATTGATATTTTTCTTTCTAAATCTACAGCTTTCCTAACAATATTTCCACTCTTTTTCTTTTTTTTTCCACTTCTATGGTTTAAATATTTTTCCTAGTGTTGCAAATTTACTTTTCCGCTCTGGTCAGGGCGTTTTTGGACCCAGTGAACTAGATTTCACCTCGCCATTTTTTCTTTTATCATGATATGGTCCCTCAGTGGTCAAAACACATTGAGAAAGAAGTTTCGCTTTTGCCCCCACACACAAGATACTGAAAACTTTTCAGCCTAACTTATTTTTCAAAATTTAATCTTTTCAGCACTCCCTTGTGTTTGTATAGATAAACCCGGTTGGTTATAACTGACCCTCGGCCCAACTACTTCACAAATGATTATCACAGCTGCTTCAATCAAAATCATGTGAATTCTAAAGTTCCTTCTAGCTTACTCAGCTCTATTTCAATTTTTAATCGATAAAAATTATTTCAACCATTTCCATTGTCTTGTGACAACCCAGATTCAATGGGTACAAATTCTGCCCTAGATCAGATTTCCCTATCAGTAAACAAAATGCTCTGATTTAATATCACTATTCAAATCAACTCCAATTTCACTAAAAAAAAAAAATATACATGTGTGTGTATGTTTCCCAGACTCTCTCTCTCTCTCTGGCACAATTATCACAATATAGAAAGATATGTATATCAATTCCTAAAATGTGCAGAAATAAAGAATTTTTGTTAAAGCAGAATACAATCATGGCCTAAAGAAATGGAATCATAGTCTTATATTCATATGCACCATGCACACATTAATGGCATGTGACTATTTCTAATTTTAGTAGACTCCTTTTCTGGAGTGCCTGAAGTCCTTAAAGTTATATATAGAAAAACAACTACAATAAAGCAAATATTAAGAGTGATATTTTCTAGAAATGCAGTCCCAAATACATTGGTATCAAACTTTTGTGATGAAGATTTATGTAATTGGTTGGGTGGCTTGGCTGCTTCCCTTACAAAACACCACCACATCACCCACAATCTAATAGGATTGTAAAAAGAATGGTGCAGAAAGTAAAAATCTGTTTCAAGGTATTTTCCCTGAGCAGAAACACTATAGATGGTTACTTATCAAGGTTACTGCTTAGTTATAAGACATTTCCACATACGGACAGACAGTGAAGCCCATCTGCAATAATGAGAAGACAAATAAGACCTCCATTAACAATGTCTTACTCAACAAATTAAAACATGTGGTATAAAAATGGCAAAGTCCTGAGAGAGGTAATTTCATCATGCAAAGGCAGCATAACTGTTGTAGCATAACTATGTACCATTCACATAAATACAGTAGTAAATACTGTATGTTAGTCTGCAGTTAAAGATTTGTCTCCAGCTGTGCTGGTGAAATTCTCTGCCTCTGAGCAGAGAGGATTCCCAGATGAGGCTATATTGAAGGCCAAAGTCTCATCTCCGGAAACAGCCACCCGACCCTGTTTTATACAGAGTCTATGGGGAATTTTTAGCTGAACCTATGGGCTCGGATACCCCACATTAAATTCAACCTTGTGCCACATCTGACCACATGAGGCAGTTGGTAGATATCCTGCAGTAGGAGATTCATTGTGGAATTCATTTGACTCACTTCTAGCAGTTGACTACTTCTACATGCTGCTAGCAAATCTTATGTGTTGTTCTTGTCCTAAGTATTATCGTTCATTACCAACCTTCATTTGACTATTCTATATTCAGTAACCTTCCCTAGCTTATAACAATAACACAGCCATTATATCAAAGAAAGGAAAAAGCCTAATGGCTTATTCTGACCAATTTTGACCCAGAATTGAAGAGGAAGATGTGATGGATGAAGATCTTGATGAAGAAGAAAGAATGAGTTGTTCAGATCAGGATAATGTAATAGAAGATGAGCATATGAATGATAGCGGAAGTGACTCAAACAAGGAAGAAGATGAGATGAAACCAAA